CACAATCTATTTAATTAAATTTGGCACCATTCATTGTGGTGCATTGATCCATTCGACACAACGAATGTCTCAATTGAGCCACATGAAACCTTGAGCCACCAATTGGGCCTGGTTGATCCAATTACCATCCTTGCTTCATTTCAAAGCTATCTAAACATCCTAATAAGTTTATTAGCAAATTCAAAAACACCATGTAATTAAAATTATAGTCCACCAATTATCCTTCACCAGTTCATAATTTTTTGGATTAGAAATTTTGAATGTTACAATCATTCTTAGGTAATTTAAGCATGAAAGCTTCCAATAGTGAATAATGATTGTCCTTAATAATACCTCAATAGCTTGTAGTATAATTAAAATGTGAATAAGCTCCATCAACATAAACGCACTAACCTAACCTTCTTGTAAAAAAGAGAAGGTTTCCATATCCTTTACGGCATCTTATATACTCACACCTTATAGGCTTAGATGTGCTTTATTATAGCTAGAAACAATAGTCTTGGCCTTATAAAAAACTTGTTGGGGGGGAAGTGATGGTATTTTGAAAAAATTCTATCATTCCTTCACTTTTAAAGGAGCTAACAAACAACAACAAATAACTCCTTCCAATGCCCTTCAACTTGCCACGGCTATGGTAACATTACCCCACTCCCACAGACTACAATTGAAATATCAAGGTAAAAGACTTGGTTTGTTGATGGAGTTCCCTAAATCTTTAATTACATCACAGTTATGAAAAATATGAATCGCATTTTCCACTTTATAATGACACTAGATATAAGAATATGCAATACTAATGTTTCTACTTTTTGTAGCTACATTTTCCAAAAGCTTATTATGAAGCAATAGCCAAATGAAAGACTTACATCTCAGAGGAATATGCACTTTCCAGATTTTATTCCACATAGGATGAGAATAATCACCATCACCATTGAGCATATTATAAGATGATTTGAGAGAAGCTTCTATTGAAATACTTCATTTTCATGTTGCCCAACAACTTGTTTTTCACCTTGCATGACTTTTTTTCCAAAAACATCTCAATGATGATGCTTACTTCTGACAATTCTTGCCCATAAAGCATCCTTATTATTTATAAATCTCCATTCAACCTTTATCATAAAAGTCTTATTTGTAATCTTGCATGATGGATACCCAAATGACCTCTCCTTTTCTCCTTGTAAACCTTATTCCAAGCCACAACATGAATCTTCTTTTTCTCATTAGTGGAAACCCAGAGAAATCCACTAGCTTTCTTGTTAAGCTCATCAAAAGTAGCTAAAGGAAGTGCACAAGTTTGCATGGGATATATATGAATTTCCCGCACAATAGAATTATAATAAGAATATGTCTCCCAGCAAGTGAAAGAGCATTAGCTTTCTAATTGCTCATATTCAACAGTATATAACTTGGTGGTTTCTCCATGTTTAGTATGATGGAACAATTTTTTGATTAATGTACAAATTTGCTTTTGAAATTTCTAGCAAGTACAAGTGGTATCCTAAAATATTTTTTGACGTGATATTATCATAACATTTTTTCTTTTCAAAATGGCATGATGTTGCACTAAACTAACAATTTGAACACATTGACCATTAGATCCTTTCTTTGGAGCAACATTTGCACAAATGACAAACTATTTGGACTGAGTTGGTTAAAAACTTTTGTCTTATTTATCTCCTTGTGGCATTTGTCTCAATCGACTGAGTTGGTTAAAAACTTTTGTCTTATTTATCTCCTTGTGGCATTTGTCTCAATCACCACCTCCTCTAAATTTTTCAACCTTCTCGTTCAAGTTGCATCTTCCTCATTTGTCATTAGAGAAGAGTTGCTCAGGGAGAAGTGATATAATAGGCTTATTTGGCAATTTGTTATGAAAATAGTTTTTGTTTTCCAGAATAAAAAATAAAAAAAATTTATTTGGTAATGTATTTTCAAAAAGAATTTTAGAGAATAAAAAATAAAACATTTTTCTGAAAAATAGAAAAACAAAAATATTTTTTAAATATTTTGAGATTATTATTCTGGAGAACAATGAAGAATAAAATATTTTTATTATTTTTTATTTTCAAAACATATTCTATAAAACATTAGTTTTCAAAACAATAAAATTAAAACAGTTTTAAAACAGCCCAATATGTCAAGTTAGTTTTATTTTTTTTTATTTTTTTTGAAATAGAAGATCTGTGTAAAGCAATAAAAAAGACAATCAATAAATTAAAGTGAATGACATGAATATTTTTATTTAAAATACCCAAGTAAAATACAAGGCTAATGTTTTTATGGACAAAATATTCAGCATATTTTATTGATTATAGCAAAAATAGCAGTATAGTTTTTGTTTTTTGTAATAAAAGGGATAAGATAGTCAAAATATAAAGAAAGTGCATTTAGCTTCAGTGCTCATCAATTAGCCTAATGAGATTTAGATATTTCAGATTTAAATATTTTTTTATATTTTATTTTACAATTATCAAAATAAAAATTTTTAATAAAATTTTTTATCATCGATTTGGAAAGTATAGATTTGACTTGAGTTGTCTAATTTAATATTAAAATTATAAAATAATTTTAATTTTGTATTTATTAATATAAAAAATATGAAATTATAATTTTTTTAATAAATCTGTTTTATTACTCTTATCAACAGTCCAAATTTTATTTAGCTGGTCTAAATTTAATATTAATGGATTATATTTAAAAAATTTTACTTGAAATTTTTTAAAGAACATTTTAAAAAAATTTTCATTAGAAGATTCGATTTATTTTCATATTTATTTATGAAAATAAAATTTAAAAAGTTATAAAATATTTAATGTTAAATCTTGCTGATATTCAATTTATAAAAAAAGTATAAACTTTTTTAATATCAAAGTCAATCATTGTGGTTCGATTTATAATGTTAAGAGTGATTATAAATAGATTTATTTAAAAAAATCTTATTTTGATAATTTTAAACTAAAATAAAAATAAAATTTTAAAAGCTTTAAATTTGAACCATTCATATCTAATGATCAGGACAGTCCAAATCTCATCATGCTGTGAGCACCAAAGCTAGATCCTAACACTATGGAAGATTTTTTTAGGAAGGAATGGAATGGAGTGGGATGACTAAAAAACTTAACTCATTGTTTGTGATTTTTTTTTAAAAGGGAATGAAATGGCAAGGCCTTTGCCATCCATGGCTCACTTTTTTTGTTTCCTTAAATTAGGAGGTCAAGGATGGAGTAATATAATATAATCATTAATTTATAAAATTACCCTAGCTTTCTATCCTAATAAAAGAATCTTATTTATTATTTTCATTCTCCAGCCATTTCTTTTCCTTCCTATTAGGGCTACACATGGACAAGAGCATCACCCCTAGTTGGTGCTCAGCCCGATGTTAAGTCAGGCATCAAGTTGGCCCAATTGACAAGAAATTATTTTTGCAAGTATTTTTTTGAAAAATATAAAAAAGATTTCCTTGAAAAAATATTATTATTATTATTTAAAATATATTCTTCATAAAACTAATATCAGAATCAAAAGTAATTTTTTAAAAATTTAAATAAACAACTTCACAATTTAAATAAACTAATATTCTTCATGCCCACCATTTTATTCACATCTTCATTATCATATCCGTTTCATTAAAATTTCCCCCTCCAAAGGGGTCCTGAGGAAATTTGACATTTTCATTTTATATATTAATCCTCTACCCACTCTTACATTTATGAGGCATAGCGTATCGTATATATATCTGATACATTGATATTTTAATTTTTGAAAATATAGGATGCAATATATTTATAACACATGTATATATGTATTTATAAAAAATATTAAAAATATACTTTTAATTTAGAAAATATTCAAATTAGCATGCATATATAATCTTTTATAATAATACCAAGCAATATATAATAATTAATTGTGCTTTTATTTTATCTATATTAATTGCCTACCACTTAGTCCCTATTAATAGATATAGTATTAGTATCTCCTCCTCTTTGACCATCATACGGTTACATTTTTATGTCTTTATAATTAAGAAAAATGCAATCTTTAACTTTTATTACATTTAGAACTTATATTTTAAGAAAAATCTAATATTTGATTTAAAAAAAAGTAAAAATGATATTAGTAATAAAAATTTTAACATTGCAATTTTTAATAAATTTAATTTATTTTTAAATTTTTGATCTTAAAAAATCAATTAGAAATCTAAAAATATAGGATGCGTATTAAAAATTAAAAATTTTTAAATTAAAAAATATTATTTCAATACTTTACGGATACGTATTGAAGAAGTATCGATATCAGATAAAATATCATTATGAATACGTGAGGCAATTTGAAATATTAGTATTTCACAACAGAGAACGTATAATAATCACAGTGATATTATTAATTTTTTATTTATGCATGGTACATATATTAGTTAATTATCTTTAAAATTATACACTCTTTTCATATCTATTCTTATTTAATTTAGTGTTTTAATTAAAAAATATTATTAATTATATATGCTAATTAAATTTATTTTTGAAACTTTTTTATTAATTGGAGTTAAGAAATTTAAAATGTTTTATATTTTTAAATATAATATTTTAAATAATATTGAACGGAATCCGGATCTAAGCCCCATCTAAACCATCCGAGGAACCATTTATCCATAGCCCAAGGGATTCGTGACTGATGGCTGTGATTTTGTGAATAGCCAATCAAGCGGCGATGGGATAAATTTCCATCTCAAAGAGAATCAGATAAACTTGCCCTTATGTCTCGTGTCAGACACAAAAATCTAGCTCACTATTTTCACTTCCTTCTTTGTACTGTCATCCTCTCTCTCTCTCTCCCTACTTCATTTCATTCCACGCGCTTCGTTATCCGTCCATGTCCGGATATGCAAATACTCCCCATCCACGAAGCGCGTCTTCTCCCGTTTCCATAAAACGCGTGAGCTTCACTCTCAACTACCTTACACATAAATAACTAGCATTCTTGGGGCACTTTCGCCATTTTTAAGTTTTGGAGACTTTCTGCGTCTTGCGCCTTTGGGAACTTCGTCTTCGTTGTTAGGGTATATAACTTTGCCGATCAGTGGAGCAAACCCCCTTCCGGCGAATTTCGAATTTTGATTCTGTTCGGTTGGGGATTGAGAAGTAGTATCAGAAGATGAAGATATTCGTGAAGACTCTCAAAGGCACCAGCTTCGAAATCGAAGTCAAGCCTGAAGACAAGGTTTGCCCATTTCTTTGTCTGCCCGCTTTTGTTCGGACTTTTAGTTTTTATTGGCTTTTCGAATTGCGTTTCATACATTGGTTGTCTTTGGTCGGTTGGTTGAAGCCCTGAACTGAGGGATAATTAGGGTTCTTTGTTTCTCACTCTCCTTTTCTTTCGGCGTTGATTCTGATTATGGGTCTTGGACGCGTTAATTGTTATGAATTTAATGGTTAATTCGAATTGGCCGTATAAGATGGTTAACTTTTAAAACGTAATTGACTGACTGGCTAATTGTTAGTTCTGTCGGCTGCAATTCTTGTCTCGGGGTATAACGTAACGCCACCAGTGGCTATGTTGTTGATGCCCATCTTTACGCTGCGTTGTATTGGGAATTCTCAGGTGGAAAGTTTCGGTGATATTAACTCGTGATAGCGCATAGGTGACTATTTTGGACTTTGCTTGACGGGAATTGAATTCGACCTCTGTCATTGAAATTTAAATTAAATTAAATTAGTAATGTAGGAGAATGAATGGGTGGAACGTTGCCTTTTTTGCTAAGCCGGACCGTAATAATTCTATCACCATTTATATCGGCTAAATTGTTAGATGGATATTCATGTACGTCATCGAATCATACTTAGTTGTTGTAACATTAACACTTTGTTTTATAGTCACTGTGTATACTTTGTGGTTGAGGTGGTATGGTTATTGTAATTAACAATGCCAACTAGCGAGTTTGGACAATCAGTAATGCCGTTGAGTTTCAATGTTTTGGTTTTCCATAGTTGAGCAAACCTGGCTTGTATATACTACCTGCAACTGGCACGTGGATCGATGATTGTGTGGCTGATAAGCTGTCCATTTTTCTGACCATTTTGGTGGCAAATCTCTTATGGTTAAATATCTTGTACAGATTTTAATTTAAACCGCCAAAGAAGTTTTACTTTTACTGCAGAGTTATTCTGATGCGATTATTCTTGCTCATTATCTCATGTTGATCATAATCCTCTGTGACAGTACTGCAGTTCTATCATGTTCTGTTCTGTTTTATGATTTGTGAATTGATTTGAGGTTATGAAATTCCAGCCTGACAGTCTACTAGTCTAGTTCCATAGATTGAAATGGAATAACCTGCAATCTTATGTATGAGTTGTTTTTCATTCAGGTTTCTGAAGTGAAGAAACATATAGAAACTGTTCAGGGTGCAGCTGTCTATCCAGCTGCGCAACAAATGCTTATTCATCAAGGGAAAGTTCTCAAAGATGGTACTACCCTGGAGGAAAATAAAGTGGTTGAAAACAGTTTTGTTGTGATTATGCTGTCGAAGGTATTTTGTCTTCTGAAAACTCCCTTGGATTTTGAATGCTACCATTACCATTTTCTCCAGAATTAAGTTGTGGATGTAATTATTTAATTTTTAAACATTTAAAACTACATATATGTCGATAACTGTTTGTAGTTATTGGGTGGGATTAAGTTTAGGGATTTTTGCAGTCGGATTATGACCATCTGAGGTGTTAGTTGAAAATAGAATGGAATTTCAAGTGATTAAGGATTATCATCAAGTTACAAGCTGTTCCACTTATCTATGGATCTGCCTTTCTGCCTCCTCATCTGGTAAAATATCTTGACAATGTACCCCTGTATTCTAAAGGTGGTGCATGCTTGACTGAGGCATACTGATGTAAAGGAGTTCTGGATGAGGCTGTAACCACATATTATCAAGGCCTCACCAGCATTTCAGTTGAATTTGGCATTGGACGGCTGGATTCTCTTGGCCTATTCCACTCTGAATTTTAACATATCCTGAGAACTCTATTCTTGAAGTAAAATTCGCAAGAACTCCTTTCATTAGAACAGTTTTTAAGAGAACCATTTATCTTGTTATTGGATGATGACCTGACGTTGCAGTTGCAGTGTTGCTCACAAAATAACTGTCGGAAGTAGGACTTTTATTGTAATCATTCTACTTGGTAATATTTTGACCTGAAGATATTTCAGATAGAATTAAGTGAAAGTTAAAGTTTTTCTCCTTTTTCTGTTTGACGTTGTACACAATGGACTGGTAAAACTAACATAAAGATAAGTTTTGTATTAGAATTTTTATATCTCGAGCATGTTATGGGTGAACCTTAAAAAGTTGCCACTTTAAGCTTATTAAAAAGGTTTGATCAACATTTATGAGTGACTAGCAGCTGGGGTTGTTGGTTACAATGGTGCAATGTAATCGTGCTGAGAATTTTTGTGGGGAGACTGAGCGTCAGTAACTTTTAGTTGTCGTGTATAGCCAAGTTGTTGCTCCTAGTGGTCCAGAATCTTTCCATGTTTATAAATTCCATTAAATTGTCATCTTGTAATTTGGAAGTCCTTGGCAGCAAACACATATCTACGTTAATAGCTACATCAAAACCTGTGCTCAAACTGTTGTTTAAACTTCATCTTCCCAAACTTCATTATTTGATCTTCAATGTTATTTTTGGAATCTTTTTATACTCTTGCAGTGTAGTTCACTATTTAAGTCTACTTTTTTTCTTTTCAAGTACAAAATCTGCTCTTACTTATTCTGAGAATTATTCATTTTTATCATGTCTTTATTACTGTAACATAGAAGTTTATATAGGAAAGTGGGGCAAGATATCCTCTTCAGAAGCCAAAGATAAACGTGAAATTTCAAAGGAAAGGAATTAAACCAAGCCGGGCAAAACCTCTCCAGTCCACAGCAAACCAATCAATTAAACTGTTTTTAGTAGTCCCTCAGAAATTCATCCAATCATTGTTCATTTTATTGATATTACAGATATTTTGAATTTGAATGTTTGTCTCACCTCACATGCATAGTTGTTTCCACGTGGCAGTTATTGGCAATGAATAAGATTACAATGGATTCATTAGTCATTAGAATAGACCGGGAAGTCCCTTCATCCTCCTTGACTCTTAATTCTAGTTTGACTTAGAATGGAGTTTTTTCTAGTGAGTTAGACATGTTTTAAAGCTTTATGCCGACCCTTTTCTTTGTATATACATATACATATATTAACCTGTGGTATATTATTTCTTTCAATCCTAAATTCTGGTATGTGCTGGAAAATATGCTAGAGTAAGAGCTCATCTGGCGAGGGATCTGCTAGTGCACCTTCAGTTAAGGTGAGAGAAATTTTTTCTGTTAAAATGTTCCTATTAACGTTACTAATATCATCTTGGCTTTATCCTTGGACTCTTCCACTTATCTGGTAATGGACAATTCATATAAAATTTCCATATTCTATGTCCGAGTTTCATCCTGCCCACCCCCTTGGGGGGGGGGAGACTAGGTTGTAGGGATGATAGAGATACCCATACCTTGTGGGTGCCCGCAAAATTAAGTCATTTGAATATGGATATGGGGATGAAAATTTGGCTCGGGTCTGAAGTTGGTGTTGGGATTATTAAGGTTGCCACAAAAGTGTGTGAATTTACCTATCAGGATTGGAATATGACAAACTTTGACTAAGATATACTGGTTGTAATATGTATGTATCATTTGGTATGTTTGAGACATTCAAGGATAATGCTGTTCATACCATAAAATTTCTGAGTCATTCATTGTATTTTTGGATAACAATATTAACAGCTGTGTGATTATTTTTTGGGGTGATTTTATGTGAATATATTTTGCATAAAAGAGGCCCAATGTGAAAAAGTGGTACCCATTTTAAAAAATTTCCAGGTAAATAGGTCTGAATCTATACAAGGATGGGGATTATGTGGCCTGTGAGGATTTGAGTACAGGGACGAGAAAATAGTTCTATCTTTGAGAATGGGGCTGATCATATTGATAAATAACATATATGATGAAGTAGAAAATACTGTTATGTATTTAATCATTTAATGACCAGCATTATTTTTTCATTGCAGGCTCCTCAGACTAGTTCAGCTCCTACTCCTGCCCCTGTGTCAATGGCCCCTCAAGCTCCTGCTGCAGCTACTTTGTCGTGAGTCATTGACTTTTCTAGACATCTTGTCTTCAAGCATAAGGTCAATTTTTGGTGTAACTATTTCAACGTGAATTGTATCTGTCATTTCAACTTGACAGACCACCTCCTGCACCTGCGCCTGCTCCTGCACCTTCACCTTCACCTTCACCTTCACCTTCACCAGCTCCAGCTCCAGCTCCTGCTGTGTAATTTTCTGTTTCCTGTGTTGTTTGTAACTTGAACTTTATGGTTTGCATTTGCAAGGGCAATATTCTTCCAATGTTTTTGGGTTTTTCCTTAAATTTGATTTTGATATGAACATTGTTGGAGCAGGTCAGGGTCTGCTGATATCTATGGGCTGGCAGCATCTAATCTTGTTGCTGGGAACAACTTGGAGGGAACAATTCAGCAGATTCTTGATATGGGTGGTGGGAGCTGGGATAGGGATACTGTTGTCCGAGCCCTTCGCGCTGCTTACAACAACCCTGAGAGAGCTGTTGAATACTTGTATACAGTATGTGAATTCCTGAGCTTTGTATCTATTACTCCTTATAATCTTTATGTTAATTACTAAATTTCTGGTTCAGGCGTCCAGCTTGCAGCATATAGACATTTAACTATTATTAGAGAGCTTTGTCACATCCAGGATTTTTTAATTTGGTGATGACTGTCATTCTTTCTATATATTAGTGATGACTAAGCAGATCATTTGTATTTGGCAATTTAATCTTTTAATAATGAAAATATGAATTTATATGAGGGTAATTGGATCTATTAAACTTGATTGTTACAATTATTACTTCGGTTTCACTATTGTCCTTTCAATTCATTGGTTAAAGTCTTTACATTATATATAAACCTTAGGGTATCCCAGAGCAAGCTGAAGCCCCCCCTGTGGCTCGTGTGCCTGCCAGTGCTGCACAAGCTGGAAATGCTCCATCTGCAGCTCCACAAGCAGCACAACCTGCACCTGTTCCTCCAAGTGGACCTAATGCTAATCCTTTAGATCTCTTTCCCCAGGTGGCTGTTGCTTCCTGCTTTTTACCCCTCTTTTCTGTCAAAGCAAGATACTAGAGATTTCTCTGGCAGCGCGCTAACATGAATGTAGCAGGGCCTCCCAAATGTTGGTGCTGGTGCAGCTGGTGCTGGCAATCTAGATTTTCTGCGCAACAGTCAACAGGTATCATATATTCCTCCTGTCTGCCCCAAATTTGTAAAACTTTGGTCCTGTCTACCCTGAGTAGTACATTTGTTTTTATTGTTCCAGTTCCAAGCATTGCGAGGCATGGTGCAGGCTAATCCGCAAATATTGCAGGTCTTACTGTGGCAGTATGATTTTCTTTTCCCTTTCGTTTGGAGCTGTCTGACATTGTTCATTTTGCAGCCTATGCTTCAAGAGCTTGGGAAACAAAATCCTCATCTAATGAGATTGATTCAAGAGCATCAAGCTGACTTCCTTCGCCTGATAAATGAACCTGCGGAAGGTGGTGAGGGGTAAGAGATCATTTCATGCTGTTCACTGGTAGTTCTCTTTCATCATTGCCGCCTGCTGTTGGTGGCAGTGGATTATCATTTTGTCCCATGTCAAGTGGCTCATTTTGCTTTTGATTTACTTTAGGAATATATTAGGGCAGCTGGCTAATGCCATGCCGCAAACAGTAGCTGTCACCCCTGAGGAGCGCCAAGCCATTGAACGTGTAAGTTTAACCAGTATGCCATGCGCCGAAGAAAAATTTTCATTTGAAGTACCTGACTTTTTATCTCGCGATCTCTAAATAAAAGTGCCGCTTACCTTTTGTTGGCATTCAAATTGAAATTTGCCAAAAATCTAAAGTATTGAAAGCTAGATTGATCATTAAATTTATCAAACACTGGTTCAAGAGTTATTTGCCTAACATATAGTTGAACTATGGTTAGACTGGTCATAAACATAGCATTCTGTTAAACCGGTCAGGATACTCGTTTAACAGTTTTTCAATTCAACTGGTTGGATTGACTTGATTTTAGTAGTATGCAAAAATCACTAATATTTTTTGGGCCTGAGTTAAAAATTATGAGGCATTATGCACTGAATTTTATATTTGAGTGAAATTATAGATAGACGTTAAGAAAGTAATTTAACCTAATATATTTGTAATACTGATTGTTTGTTAAATTATGTGGTGATAATTTCCTCTGAAGTTTATAGTAGCCTTGTTCTTAAGCCTTCTGTTTTGTTTTCTTGCCCAGCTCGAAGCAATGGGATTTGATCGAGCACTTGTTTTGGAGGTGTACTTTGCTTGTAACAAAAATGAAGAATTGGCTGCTAATTACCTCTTAGATCATATGCATGAGTTTGAGGAATGATCTTTCAACTTTCCTGTCCTCAAAATTATTTCTTGTCTCTTTCGAACTTCTCGCCTGTTTTAATGTTCGATAAAAAGAAGTCGCAGGATGGACAAAAAGGGATGTTTTTAGCCTCCTTGGCCACAGAGCTCATGTATCTACCATTTTCTCTGTTTCTAGGATTCTTCTGAGTATTCATATAAATAGTTTCTTCGGAATATTCTTACATATACAGGATATGTGCATCTTTTCAGACATGTTTTTTAAATTTTATTCCAGTTCGATAATATCCAGAGATGGCAAATTTACCCAAATTAGCAAATACCCTTCAAAGAGGACACCTTTCTCTACCCATTAATACGCCATGCGCAAGGCCTGTTTGCTATTCCAAATTTAATTTCGGAATTTCCATGTAGGCCCGAGTTGTTCTTTTTGGCGCATTGCCTTGGATTAACTGAAAGCAAATGTTAACTGTTAGTTGATCGGTTTTGTTTAGGTGGTAAGCCACCTGGAATTCTCACTTTTTTCCCTTTGACCAAGGTTTTACCTCCTGTCCAACTTCCTCCTCATCACTCATGCCATAAGGAGACTGAGGGTTTGGACATGATGTGGAGGTGGGAGGGGAGAGGTGAGATTATGTGGCCTTATTGTGTTGGCTCATTTGACGTGGCATGCTATTTTAGCACTTTACAGTCAAACTATCGGTCAACATTAATAAAAGGGATATTGTATTATTTTAAAAAATGTTAAGGTGATATTGCACTTAAAAAAAAAAAAAAGCTTTAGGATATGATGTGTGTTTGTGTGGAAATTTTGCATGTAGATTTGTACTTTAATCATTTAAATTATAAAAAAATAATAATTTTTTAGTCTTTCAACTTTTAACTCACTTGTAACGTAATGTTTCAATTATGACTTGTTATAATTCAGTCTTTTAATTATAACATGATGCAACTCAATCCCTTAGCTTTTGATTCATTTGGTCTTTATTTTTTAGTTTTTTTTTTAAATTTCCTCATCAAATAAGAGAGATAAAAGAAATGCTCATATATTATTTTAAAATATCCTCCTCTTGTTCTTTGATGTGAGATATAAGTTAACATGAAAAAGCAAAATTAATAAAAGTTGAGAAACTAAATTATAAGTTATTCAAAAGTCGAGGGATTGAGTTATAGGTGAGTCATAGTTAAGGGAGTGAGTCATAGCGAGTCATAATTGAGGGACTGAGTTATAAGTAAATTAAAAGTTGGAGGATTAAAAGATTAATTTTTTCTAAGTTATAATGTCTTTATTAGCTTTGAGGAATGCTGGAAATGAGATTCAGAACCTAGCCGGGAATTGATCATGTTCACTAAATTGTGATCTCGATTAAAATAGTATGCTTTAAATAATCCTAGATGCCAAACTAACATGAACATTCAACTAGTATATGTCCAATCTAAATGCCATTTATTATCTATTACAAATTATCAGAACCATTGTGTTAGATTAATTGTCCAACTAAGCTAGTGCAGGCTTTTATAAGTTAATAGAGTCAGTGATAAATTATCAAATATATATAATACTAGCGAAAAATCAACCAGAAAGAAAATAAAAATATAAAATAATATAGTTTTGGGTTATAGAATTTTACAAAAGAAAAGCGAAAAATTGGTTCTGACCGATTTCCCATTGATTTTACTGGATTGACCAATTTTTATGAATCTAGACTGGACGTATAGGCGGTTTCGGTTCAACCGATCAAATCAATCGGTCCAGTTGGTGATAAATAACGTGTGTAATGTCAAACTTCAAATTAATTTATTTAGTTTCTTACTTTAATAACATTGTGATGTATCATGTAAGTTGTAACTCATGATTTTCAGGTGCAGTGGCAATATTTTCATGATTTTCTTGGTGCAAAATGAGTGTTTGAGATTTCAATCCTTTTTAATATAGGTGCTTCTATGTGTAAAAAGAAGAAAAGAAAAGAAAGAAAATAAACTTAAAAAAAAATTACAGTGACGTCTCCCATAACCAATCAAAATATTCAAAAGTTTTATGAAATCTCTAAATAATTGTAAGAGATTTATGCCCCATTTGATATGGTGAAAATTTTTTTAAAGAAAGCGAAAGTGGAGTTAAAAATAGAATTGAAAGTGAAGTTGAAAATGAAACTAAATTTAAAAGTATGTTTAATATGAAGGTGAAGATGTGATTTAATTTTTAATTAATAAATTTATTTTTAATGTGAAAGGACTAAAATACTCTTGCCTGACAAGCCTCATCCACCACCCCTCTATAGTAACAGCTACCGGCCACCGTACCAAATCAAAGAAAACCCCATCAGCCATTGGCCATAGTAACACCCTGGCCACCAGAAAACTCTACTTTGCCTGAAGACAGAAATCGAAACCATTAGTGTCCATTAGTCATCATCGAAAACATAAATCGACCCACATAAACAATGTCGGACTAAATCCAGAAGCTTCCATTTCTTCGATGATGAAAACAATGTTCTGATGCTCTTCTCACATCTACTAAGCGAAGCCTTGGCTGATTTGGGAGTTCAAACTTGATATGTCCCTGGTAGAATTGAGGAAGCTCAGCTGTCATTAATGGCGGCCATATATCAAAATTCAAGCAAGAAATCTTGCAAAATCCACTACCAAGCATATAAGAAACATAAGATCGAAGAAGAACTAACACTCAACACTTTTGTCCACCTCGCGCCATGAAGTCATGTCAATCTTCAGTCTCAATTGCAATAAATTTGGTGAAGAGGGGATGGACAGATGGTTGGGGTTAAAATCTAAGAGGGGCAAAAATGGTCAATAAAATATTTATTTGAGATCATAATAGTCGTAAAATATTGATTTTCAAGAAACTGACTCACTTCCACGCTTAGAGGTAAGGAACTAGGAATTGGGTTCCTTCACTTTTGGTAGAAGTAGGTTCCACATGGAACCAAGTTTCAGCGTATCAAACATGTCAAAATTGGACTTTCACTCTCAATTCCACTTCCCTCCTCTCACTTCCATTGTACCAAATGCAGCATTAAGGGTAAATAAAATTAAAATAACAATAACCAAAATATTCATATTATAAGATGCTTAGTTAACAACTTGACAATGACCATTCATCATAAGATAAAGACTTTTGACCAGTGAAAATGCACTTGTCACTGATAGATATTTCACTTGTTAATAATTTTTGCCTTATGATAAATAGTTTTTGTCAAGTTTTCAATAGAGCATCTTATAACATGAGTATTTTAGTTATTTCTATTTCAATTTTATTCACTCCTAAAAAGTAATGAATCCAAACTTACCTACATGGGGCAAAAACTAAAATTCACATTTTTTACAAATAAAATCTAAAAAATACAAAGGAGAAGTAAAATTATGAGGGACAAGCACCCCTTTGTCGCCCTTGGACTCGCCATTGCTTCGAAGTCTCAGGGACATGATGAATTTTTTTTTTTGATTTTGTGAGACCTTTGAATATTTTGAATCGTTGTGTGGGTTTTCATGATAATTTTTTATAAATCTAATATAAATTTATGACTATTAGTCTATAAAGAAACATATAAATATCATAAGGTGATACTTTAATAACAATATCATGAGGTGATTTTTCTTTTTGCACACTTCTTTCTGACCTTATATTAAAAAAAAAAAAATCCCCAACCACAATTATTGGGTGTTGCGATGGGCAGCTCTTTTTTTTTTTTTTTTTTTTTTTCCGGTTAAGAGGGAGGGCCTAAACTCGAATTATAGAAAACTAAACAGTTGGCGAATCAAATCCCAAACTTTCTTCATGCAGCAGGACCCTCAAGAAAGGAGAGGTCGTGTCATATAACCGTGAGATGCGTATGCCTTCCTTTGCAAGCTCACCAGCAGCCTTGTTCTTCTCACTTACAATCCAATGGCAGTGTAAGTTTCACTGAATGCGACAGGTAGCTCTTGCATAACGCTGCGATTGGCATCAACTTTCATTTTTATTTTGCATGGAACAAAATATATAATCAAAATAATTTTTAAAATTTTGTAAGATATATATATATATATATATATAAAGGTAATATAACGGTAATTTTTTTTTAAATCAATCACTCCATCTATAAATATCAATATATGTTAGAATTTTTGAATTTGTATAATTTCCACCCATGATGAGTCATTAGTGGGATTTGCATAAATTCCAATCATAATGAGTTGACTGAAATCTAGTATTAATTTTTGATTAATAACATGAAAAGAAAACAATCCTTCATCATAATAATAATTATTCTAATTAATATATATTTTTTTCATAAGGAGGCCTTTTATACGGAGACTTTCTTTAACTGTAAATAGTAATAAGAGATTGGAGATGGAATTCCATCTTAGAGCGAATAGTTTTTTGTTTCGTTCTTTCTCTCCCTCTCTTTCTCTCTAGTGTATTTATTGTGCATTATGATCTAGATTATAGTAGTCTAAATTTATGTGAGTAGTCAGATATATTTTTCTACGTTCGAATCTACTAAGACTTTGACTCAACTTTTTTATTCAATATGTTCCTTCAATATATATGGACTATTGGAAGTTCTATTGGATGCAGGGAGCCTAATTTTATGCAGTTTTCAGTCTGAGTTTCATGGGTAAAATATATTATTTTTAATTTATATTAGTGTTAATTATTAGGGATGGTGAAGTACTCTTCAAGAGACGAATAAATAATACAACAATAAAATGTTGAAATTTAGAGTTCATTTTTTAGGGTTATAATTTTAGAATATCTTATTTTATGAATACAAGGTTTTAGAAATTTGAAGTTTGAACGTTGAAGATGTAGAGTTTGTGAGACTTGCCTTGCGAGTTCTATAGATTAGGAGTATAGAGTTTATGATATAAAGTGTCTATAAAGGTAGTTATAAATTATTTATCCACATGATCTCACTTCATCAATAATGATTTTTAAACTTGTAATTGTATGATATAAGTTGCATATTTACATGGGAAGTTAAAATTGTAAAAAGGACCATGAGTCAAAGATATTTGTTGAAAAAAAGGACTAAGGTCTTTGAAGTGAACTAGGCTAAAACCTTAATTCACTTGAAGGACCTTGGGCCATTTCCCCAAATAAATTTACCTCCCAGACCCTCTGAGCCACTTCCCTTGCGTACATTCATTAACCAGATTGATGTTTGTCGGCTCTTAAGGATAACTTCTTTTGACCTTTTAACTTTTACCTCTACCCCAAACTTTTCCCCAAAAAAATAAGAGAAAGAAAGAAAGTGATATTCACACGCGCACACACAAATATGTCAATGTTAAAGTTGAACTCGCAATCTTTTTCAAGTGAGAAATGTAGCGTTGCTATTAAAACAATTAACTATTGATTTGATTGGGGATAACTTCATCATATGAATAAAATAATCATTGGTGATGATTGGTTGAGAAATTAAACATTGAATAATTATTGAAAAGTAATATTCAATGAACATTTTATAGGAGTGTTCAATTCTTGAAAGATGCTCTCAATCTCTCTCCCTGTTTTTTTTTTGATTGAATGCTCTCAATCTTTGTCTAAATGGAATGCTATACCATGCAAGTTAATAACATACAGTAGAATGTCATTCTTGATGTTCCATCTTTCATTGGCGTATTATCATTTTAGTTGTGATCTATTAATTTTCACTTTAGTTTGAAAAAAAAAAGGCAAAGAAAACCTCTCAATTTTTATCATACGGCTGGACAGAATTTTTTTTAAATGAAAATATAAAAATAATGTTTATTTGATGAAAATTGAGAGAAATACTTATTATATTTTTGATTTCCTTCAAATTAAGAGAATAGTATTTGTAGGCCCTCATCTTTTGTAAGCAAAAGTTATGAAGGTTAGACAACCGAACACATCTCTGAGTGATGAAAATGGCATATCTATTTTGATTTAAATGGTCTAAATCAGATCCATATCTATATGATTTACATTTTAGTATTTTTTATATTAAAACATTGGAACCATTAAAATTAAATTTGTGGTAGTGGATCCGCATTCGTGTAAGAGATGAATCCATACGTTGTTGATTGATTCTATATCTATCGTCAAATGTGGAGAGGACCACTAAAGACATCAACACCAGCACGACTCTCTCTCTCTCTCTCTCTCTCTCTCTCTCTCTCTCTCTCACACACACACACACACAAACAAACAAAATTAGGTATAGTTGATTATATGAAATCAAATTAGTAAAACAAATTTAGAGCACTTGGATCAATTGATAAAGGGTGGTTCTAGCTTAATCAGTTATATTCAGTTTAAGTTTTAGAAATGCAGCAATAGTGCTAAAGCTCTTTTTAGAGCTTGCCACACGAAAGAATACTTGATCCAGATTAATAGGGGCACATTAAATTCCCTTAGCTCGATAGGAGGCAATCCCAGAATACCAGGTGTACAAGTAATAAAAAAAACTTAACAATATATATAAATTCAGGTATATATATATATATATATATAAATAAAAGTATAACTAGATCGCAAAAGGACACTATTTGATTAGTAAAAAATTGTAGAGAAATCGCACTAAAAGCCTTAAAAACATATAATATTATACTTTGGGTTTAAAAAATTTTGATATTGCACTGCAGATTCAAAGACTTTGCAATTTTTTTTAGGAGGAAAAATACAATCTTACCCTTATGTGATTTGAAAATATAGAACCTATGAGAAACCTTCACAAAGCAATGGCCTCTTCTTTGTCTCTTCTTTTTTGTTTCTTCTATCATCGCTCGTTGGTGCTATTGGATGAGCTTGCCTCAGTCATTCCCTCTTTGCCCGTATAGCTTTTATGGTCTCTTCATTAGGAATCAACGACCCAGATGAGTTATTGCTAGTTGTAAGCCATATTGAAGCCAATTTGTTTTGGGCATCATCTCTAACATTGTGAGAGAAGTTAACCCTTTTCTCATTAAGCTCGTATTGTTCGTCCTCATATTGGGCATATTGTAGGTAATCTCTCTCTCCTTCACTCTTCTCATATGTGCTCTTGGCTTTGGGTTGTGACTAATTTGTTTGGCTTATTTGATGATAGATGGTTATTTTTGTTGGAATTGTTTAATATCCAACCAAAATCTATGTATTCCTCATATTAGAAAAGAATTGGCCAAAAACGTGTTATTAAAACCAGATTTACCAATCAATTTTTGCTGTTAGAGTTGGTAAACAATCCCTCTCTAAACCTAGCTATAAGTGACATTACCAGTCTAAAAATCGAGCATTGACCCTTCCTTTTGCTCATCTGTCCCTGTTATTCAGTTCAAGCTTTTCTCCATTTGTTGGGAACTAGCACACTTATTTGAATTTGAGAGTTGAAACCTTATTTCTAATCCCATTGTTGGGTACTCAAAGCTCCTTTGTTCATACCATACTAGGAATTATGTGTTGAAGTCTTTGGTGCTCGAATTTTAAAATTTGTTTAGATTTTGGTATTGTGCATTAAATTAGTTTGATAAGATATCTTATATTTTTATTTTATCATAAGATAGTGTTTCATACCTTTACTTAAGCTGTACTTTGGCATCATGGCATGATGCTTCGTAGCTAATTTACAAAAGACTTGGAAAGACTGTTTTTTTTTTTGGACTTTTTTGGCACAGACACGTGGCCTTGGGTTTGCTGGACCTCTTGTTGCATATGATATTTCAAGAAAATGGAAAATTTTGATGTAAGAATAGACAATGCTTCATATGAAACCAACTTGCCAATCATATAAAGTATTCCTTAGTATCGTCATAAGCAAAGTGATAGTTATGTAGCAATATTTTATGGCATGAATTTTTCCTCCACTACACTAAAATTGAGTAGATGTGCTTTTGTCTTTTCAAAATTTGACTTTAAAATTCAAATTTCACTAAGGTTACATTTTCACTTATCAATCTTTAAGGTATTTAAAAAGACAGTTGAGATAACCAAAACTAATTATGGGACGTCGTATTGTGATATCATCTTGTATTGTTAGAGCATTTTTTATACCAATTTTTAAGGTGTTCAAAAAGACAATTGAGATAGCCAAAGTTAATTCTGGGACATGGTATTGCAATATCATCTTGTATTGTCAGAGCATTCTATAACTAAGCTAAAAGTTGAGATTAGGGTGAATTAACTTTGGTGTCTACCCAAATATGATATTTATGTTGCAAGAACTAGATAGTTGAATCTTGCACATGACCTTAATTGTGCAATGGCTGATTCATCATTTTTTTTGATAGTATGATCAATCAAAACTATCTAAGGTGGAGTTCAAAAATGACATACTTTATCCACGTGTATTCAAGCAAGAAAACAAGTAAGTTATATTGGTATAACATATTAACATTTTTAAAAATATAAAAATGTTGATTCATTTCTCACTCAATTACACGATTTGTGCAGTGATGATTGTAGAGTTCATCTCATTACATGGCTTAAATTTCGAAACAATACCGTATTGATCATCCTTCGCTTGCCATGCCTAAATACATAATCCAAGAACTATCAGGCATGAGGTGCGATATTTTGTGCTGGCTAGTAGAGAATCCCAATAATGTCATGGGCGAATGCCTACTTGCACTTATAGGAACAAGCAAATGAAAAGAAAAATCATAGGATTGTGGAATTAGGTTTTTCTAGTTGGATGATGCATATATTTTATGATGCTTTTTTATAATTTGAAATTGGTTTTTTGTTTGTAATTGGAATTATATATATATATATATATATATTAGTGAAAATGAAATGAAATCTACAAGTTAGGCAAAAATATAAACACAATATCCACTATGCATAATACAAGGTTCATATATTCTCAATTGAAAGTCTATACGATTCTAGTTTATTAGTAGGCTGTGCTTAACAAAATGCATAAGTTAGCAAATATATACAACACAATATCCACTATGCACAATATAATGTTTATATATTTTCAAGTAAAAGTCTATGCGTGTCCATTATATCGGTATGCTAGGCTTAAAAAAATGTGCAAGTTAGGAAAAAAATGTACACCACAATATCTATTATACCCAACACAAAGTTTATATATTTTTAATTGAAAGTCCATGCATATTCAGTGTATCAGTAGGCTAGTCTTAATAAAATGCACAAGTTAAGCAAATAATGTACAATACAATATCCATTATGTACAACATAATGTTCATACATTCTCAACTGAAAGTTTATGTTATTTCAATTTATCAGTAAGCTAGACTTAATAAAATGCACGAGTTAGGCAAAAATATACAACACAATATTCACTATAAACAATACAAGGTTCATATATTCTAAATTAAAAGTTCATACTTGTATAGTTTATTAGTAGGTTAGGCTTAATGAGCAAGTTAGGCAAAGAATGTATGACAGAATATCCACTATGCACAATAGCAAAGCCAAAACCCCGAGTTAGGGTGTGCGGAATAATTTAATAAAAAATTAATATTTTTTAAAATAATAATTATGCTAGGACTAAAATTATAATAATATAAATAGTTTTATCATCATTTTTCACTTTAAAAAAATTATATTGAACCAATTGATATGATCTTTTATTGTAAATATGCTTTTCATATCTTATCATGATCATTAAAATATTATATATTTAATAAGTTTTTGAGCTTAAATATTTTTCATTTAATTCAGGGGGTGCAAAATATTAAGAGTAGGGGGTCCAAAGTTATAAATTTTATATGCTTCACTTATAATTTTTCCTAAAGTGAGAGGGCACAAACCAATGTGGCTCCACCATGACTATGCACAATATAAGGTTTATATATTTTCAATTGAAAGTTCATGTGATTTCAATTTATTAGTAGACTAGGTTTAACAAAATGCACAATTTAGGCAAAAATATACAATAATATCCACTATGCACAACACAAGATTTATATATATGTTCTCAATTAAAAGTTCATATGATTTTAGTTTATTAGTAGTCTAGACTTAACAACATGCACAAGTTAGGCAAAACATGTACAACACAATATTCACTATACATAATCATATATTCTCAAATGAAAGTCCATGTGTATCTAGTTTATTAATAGGTTAGATTTAACAAAATATACAAATTAGACAGACTATAATAAGCAACAAACTTTCATTGTAATAAGAAGGATAATTGCATCAAATTTAGATAATTTCATGTTGGTATTGGCCTAGCTAATAAAACAAGTACTCATATAAAATTTGACATGATATTTTTAATATGATATATACCAAAAGTTGACAACTATATCCAAAACATTTAAGAGTTGCTTGTCTACATAGAAAAATTTGTCATTCCCAATAACCCAAAAAATATTGTTTGAAAATCCTTTCATTTATATAATTATAGTTGCCTATGTACATCAAAAAAGTAGAATGTGAGTACTTCTTATGTTGTGTTAGGATTTTTGCATGTCTTGCGACTATGTTTGACCTCTCCACATCTTGAATGATGATAAATCTTCTTATTTTAAAATTGAGACCCTATCCTTCTTGTTTGTGGCCTCTTGATAGGACACTATCAACACTCTTCACAAATTCACCACTATATTGGAAGAAATAAAATAATTTTTTCAGAAATACTTGCCATTTTTTATATTAACTTGCAATTAACAAATTAATCTAAGAAAATTTTCACGTACAAAAACTCAACTTTTATTTTACACAACTCAAAGTTCAATACCAATAACTCAAAGTTTAATTTTGCACAATAAATACTCTAACGTCTCTGATAGCAGTTTTTTTTTCATTGGGAGTCGTATTTTATTCAATTTACATGTCAAAGTTCAATATTAATAAGTTAACTATTGTTATTGTATAACAACTAATTCACTCTAAAATTTTTACAACTAAGTTCAACAACCTTTAACTTTTATTAGCAATAAAATTACAAATAAAATTTTAATTTTAACAACATCATAATGCATTTTGTACAACAAAAAATATATTTCATATGCACCTTACTATCTCATGTAAAACCCCCATTAAATGCTTTCATTAAATGAAACTACTACATATTAAAAATGTCAAGACCACCTTTGTCGTCACTTCATCAGCAACTAACATGCAATAATGATGCCATTTAAATCATTTATCTAAACTCTCAAGTCACCAAAAGATAATAACTACATTTACCTTATGCATGCCAGAAGGTTGCGTAGTTCACTAAGTCTTGTCATGCAACTCTAAACTCTTTCCTATTTCAACATAGAAATGGTGGACATCACCCTTAATCAAAGCTTAATAAAAAATTTTTAACCGAAGCCTACTTAGGATGGAGGGATTTTAAAATCTATGGACATCACCCTTAATCAAAGCTCAATAGAAAATTTTTAAATCAAGCACTACTTAGAATGGAGGGATTTTAAAATCTACACACCTCAAAAGTTACTTCTCACCACTAAAACTGAGAAACCTTCAACTCTTTCAATTGAAAAGCCTTCTAGTATTTGTCATTGGTTCCACCACTTTTTGTTTGTTTATTTCTATTTCTTTTCATTAAGGGCAAAATTATATGTTTGGTTTTAAAAAAAATTGCAACAAAGACCCTTGAGCCTATAGTGCAATATCAAAATTTTTCAGGTCCAAAGTGCAATAATATGTATTTTCAGGGCCCTTATTGCAATTCTCCCAAAGTTATATTTATAACTATTGTAAGACGAATATGTTAAATTGTGATTGCCTAATATGTTAAAAAATTAATAATAAACGTGATTTTTGTATGTTCATAAAATTATATTTTAATGATTTGAATTCATCACTTCTTATTGTACATTTGGTACTCTTTTATTCGACCTTCTCTAAAAAAAAAGGGTTTATAATTGTGCATTTGATTGCATCACGTGTAGTTTATATACATGAAACATGGAAGCAGCAAAATTTTTGTAGTACTTAATAAAGTTAACCCTGTGCATTAATTGGCAAGACAACTATTGTAAAATAAATATCATGAAATTAGCGATTTCATGTTGTTAAACTAGCGAGTTTAAATAAATTTATGATAAAAATATAAATTTAAATTATAGATTCAAATTTTAAACTCGTAAGAGTTTGTTTCTATTAATAAATAGTTTTTAAAAACACATGATTAAATAATTAAAATATAAAATATGACTATAATTTAATTTAAATATATTTAAAATATAAATAATTGAAATTAGATCTATCCACATTCATAGATTATTATACTCAATATAAAAATTTTAAATTAGGGCAAATTGTTTTTGATATTTTTGTTTTCTTTTTTATTAATATTAGTTTTCGTTTTTTAGTTTTATTTTTCATTGAATTTGATTTTACCGCTTCTATGAATCAAATTCTATATAGTAGATACCTATCTTTCTCAATGAGTTTATAAACAGATTGACATGATTTTATAAATTAAAAATATAAAAATAATAAACTCAAAGAATCAACAAGCAAGTTTAATCGAGTTTATGAGCGAATTAATATAATTTTATAAGTTAGAAATGTAAAAATAATAAATTCATAAAGTCAACTCAAAAGTTTGATAATACTTGAATTTTTAAACAAATGTTCCCTAGGAGAAACATTTGTCAAAAAAGAAATAAACATGATTAACATTAATAATATCAGTGTCCAAGTTAAAATGAAATTTACTTTTTCTACCAAAAACAATTGATGAATTTTATTCCACTGTCAAAACCAAAGAAGAATAACAAAACTAAAAATCTCAAAAATCTCATAGAGAATAAAGTCTTTTTATGTACAAGGCAAAACAAATACAAACCAGGAGAGCCAAAGAAGTTAGAGCATTAGAGTGTGTATACACAATGAGAGATAGTGAGGCAAATAAACAAAAAGCTTTTACTCCTTAAAGCTCATTTTTCTCTCTTGAAAGAATGAGAAAAATGAAACAAAAAATCATTTTTCATGATTTTTATAATTAACATGATAAAAATCAATAGATATTGACCTTAACCTGTAAGTAACAAATTTTTATTATACTTGAAGACTTTTACCATAGCCCCTCTCTTCTTAAGACCATTATGTTTAATTAACTTTTCTAGATAATATTTGAGTGGGGAAAGCATGAAAAAAAAACCTGTATAGCTAAATAAACACATATAATAGATATATCAAATTCTAATATAAGTGGAGAAAATCTAAAGTTACAGGTAAAATCTAACAGTCAAGTTTCAAAAAAGAAAAATATAATAAAAAAAATGATAAGCTGCAAAACTATTGTTCTAACGTGATTTTTTTTATAAAGTTATAATGTGATTTTTGTTTGGATCCTTTTTATTGTATAGAAGTCATTTGAATAAAAATGATTAATATTTAGGTTTAAAGGGTAAATTTAATTCGCCCTAGAAATTTTTTGCCAAATGCAATTAATTTTTATTTGATGTAATATTACTCTGAAAAGTTTAAAAAATGGTATCATGTTGGTTTATAATAATGTTTGACTAATGGTGACTATTATTTTAATAGTTAAAGAGCAATTTTGCTTTAGAAGTTTGTTTGAAAGAGTAGTTAGTATCCTAAACTTTTAATTGATACAATATGTTTAGATTGTCAACTTTAAAATTAGAAGATAGATCCATCTAATAATCTAAAATCAAAAGTTTTTGGGTTGAATTATATTGAATGATTCTAAGTCAAAATATAAGGTAGTTGATGTTACCCATGAGATAGGTTTGAATAAGTCTATATTTGCTCATAGTAAACACTTGATTGTAGACAAAAAGAAGAAAAAAGTCTGGATTTTGCTCAAGGGAAAGTTCATGGTGGAGCACTCTAGTGGAATT